AAATCTATCTTCTAGTTTCCTGTCATCTCATTAGCTACTATATTTTATTTATTTTTTTAGCTGCTAATTTTATTTATCATCAATAAATTTGTTTATTTTTATTTTTTGAAACAAAGTCTTGCTATGTAACTCGGGCTGGCCTTGAATTTGAGAGCTGCCATATTTTAAAAGAAAAAAATCAGTGCAAATTTATCTTTATAGCTACTGTAATGCAGTAAGAAAATATAATTTTTGTTGGTGAGAAAGCCACAGATACCAATTCACTGGAGCCTCTTGTCTACACTCTTCATTATAGGGAATGCTGAATTTCAATTATAGGTTACTAAATATTTGATTTTTCTTTCCCATAGCTATTCAAACCCCTGAATTGTACCCACAGTTCCTCTGGGCTGAGTGCTAACAGTAGTATGGGTCCTAGGAGGTCCTTTTGTGGCACTTCTTGTGAACTGCCTTGGGTCTTCCTAACATAGTCCTGCATTTTATACAAAACAAGCCTCAGCTCTTTTCAGCAACGCATCTGCTTCACCTTCCCCAACCGTGTGTTTTGGGCTTCTCCAGACTCTTCCCGTCCCTCAATCTCACACCGTGGTGACTGTGTCTGGGCTGAGAGCCCAGTGGGCTGTGGATCCCTGTCTCTAGGACAATGTCCCCCGCATTCCGGCCGCGCTGGCTTCAGTCCCAACCCTGCTGCACTTTGGCTGTGCTCCTTGTGACAAAACATGGTCCTGGAGCGGTCTCCTTTTGTAACTGGCTACTGGTTTTTGTTTGTGGAACCAGCTGTGCATTTGTTCAGGTAGAAGTCCCTCACAGTGGCCTTGCACAGTGGCTGTGCAGTACACTGGATGTCTCTCAGGCTGTCCTCAGGGACTCACCTGTCACCTCTCCAGTGATGGCAAGGACAGAGAGACATTGGCCAGGTTTTCCATACTGTGACACTTTAAAAAATAAAAGCCGCTAGTTAGAGCAACTGTTTTCTGTTGGCGCTCAGTGCACACAGACTGATGGCACTGTGCTAAGACAGAGGTGAATTTATCACCCCCAGCACTCTGAATGTCACTAACTCTTCCTGGGCTCCTCAGTACTTGTTTTTAATCCTGGATTTCCCAAGGCTGGAATAGAATTCTTCTTTCATGCCAGTGTTCAAGGTGAAGTCTGGGAAACTTCTCTGAAGAGGGCTGGAGGTGTGGTGGAGCTGAGTCTGGGCCACTAGCAGCTCCAAGGTGCCCACGCCTCACTGGGACCGGGAAGCCCTTCTTGTCCCAAAGCCAGTGCCACTGGGGCCGATTTCATACTGCAAACCCACCTGAGCTGTGTGCTGGGGCTAGTGAGCTTTAGTGTGTTTACAGCTGTGTCAGGGCTCACCACAGCCCACTGTAGGGCACTCTCATCCCGAGTGTTCTGTGTGTCTGCTCTGCTGCCACCCAGGCCTGGCCACTCTGAGTCTGTCCCTGTGATCTGTCTTTTCCAGACAGTTCATACCCTGCTCCATCTCTGAGACTGCCTTCCTCCCTGCACTGCAGCCCCCCAGGAAAGCTGGAAGGAAAGGTGTCACATGCCCTCAACATGCACACAGGGTGTTTGTAAAGAGTGCCTTATTCCTTTTTACTGCCAAGTAGTATTCCACTGTATGGATTCACATATTTCATTTATTCATTCATCAGTGGGACATCTGAATTCTGATTTTTTTTTTTTTTGCTGTTTTGAACACTCACAGAATTGTTATGCCCACATAAAGTTTTATAGGTAGAGGAATTCCTATAGCTTTTTAAAAACATGCCCAGCTATTTTCAAAGCGGCTGCGTTGATTTACATCCCACCAGCATGGTCTGAGGGGCCCTGTGTGCCCTACTTTTCCTGCCTTCTCTGTGGAACAGTTATCCCATCAACCAAATCTGATCGGAGCCGGAGGCAGATTTTCAGAGCCACAGCTTTCTGCACAGCGGGGACCCCACCGCCACTGCAGCTCCCAGTCTGAAGGCTGCAGATGGGTTTTTAAAACTGTCCTCGGTCTTGCTGCCCCTTCACTGAAGCAGACTTTGGCTTGCTTACTCTGTGTGTGTGCTGTCTCCTCACACTGCGCTCGTATAACCACCTACAGGTTTCCACCTTTTATTTCCCTTCTTGGTGCTGGGAATGCAACCCAGAGACAGGTGCATGCTAGGCAAACACTGCTACCAAGCTGCACCCCAGCGGAACATGGCTTTTCAAATGCCAAGCCCTTCAGAGGGGGGATTTTCCTATCCTGAGACTAGTACAGAACACGGCATAAGGTAGGCCTGAAGCACATTTCCTGAACAGCTGAAGTGCCAGGGTACTTGTTTGGCCGGCCCAACCAGGTACTAATTCCCATGTCAGCTTGCTTTCTCAAAAAGGGCCACACACTTTTCCTCTGACCTGTTCATGGAAAATACAACACAAAATCTCAGAGCTTTGAAAGAAGCTGTAGGGGCGAGGCATGGTGGCTTGGAAGGCTGAGGCAGGAGAATTGCCACGAGTTTGAGGCCAGCCTGAACTACGTAGTGAGACCCTGTCTCATAAAAAAAGGAACTGCATGGATATGTTCAGCTTTTTTACTTTATACAGGAAACCTGTGGCCTGGATCAGGGAAGCAAGCTGCTCAAGGTTACCTGGGTGCGAGGGTCAGCACCCTCCTGGATGCAGGATGGCGAGTGAGCACCGTGAGGCAGGGGGAGCATCAGACGGGAGGGTGGCCCTGGGAGGACCCTGTCCCTGCCCCACACTCTGCTCTAGGAGAGGCAGTCTGCAGTGTTCCGGTAGACTGCATGAGGGCAAGGCTTGGGTTGGTGAGCAGCTGGAGAAGCCCTGACTGCCGAGAGCTGGGAGGGCAGGCAGCACCAGCGGCGATCTGCCTGCAGCAGGCCTGGTGCTCACATTGCCATCAGAGCCAGGCTGGACCATGTGCAAGCCTGATGGCACAGAGCCACAGCTTCCTTAGCTGTGGAGTGGGGAAATGATAGCTACTTCCCAGGGTAAGAGCACTCTGGCCAGTGGTCAGTGTGCCACAGCGCGGGGTCCCCATCCTATCAGGAGCCGTCTGCAGCCTCAGCTCCAAGTCTGAAGCTCTGTCTACAGTGAGAGATACTGTCTTCTGGAGTTTGTGACGCTGTCCTAGGCTGACAGTTCCCTAAAACCACCACATCCACACAATGTCCACATGCCAAGTCCTGTCTGGAGCATTCAGCTACCATGTGTGCTTTTCAAATGCCACTGTTGGGGACTGGGGTCATCACAGGTAGGATTGGGGCTGCCCTCAAAAGAGGAAGAAGAAACTCCCACCTTCTCTTTAGCTAGAACTGCCCCCTTTAATGCTGGCTTATTTTTTATTTTTTCTATCATTTCATTTGAAGAAAAGATTCCAGTATTTTTGAAAAGCCCTGTAACAGAAATATAGTAAATATACCACACTGATAAAGACAATCAAATTATACATTTAAAGATGAAAATAAGCTTTATGTAAAACTTCAAATTGTTTAACTGGCCAGATTTATAAAACACAGTTTCTGAAGACCAAAGAAAGAAAAACTCCGTAAATACAAATACAGTTCCTTTTCCACACAGAATGGAGGAACTCTGCATTTTTAAAACTGGTACCGGTATCTACAGCAGTACTCAGGAATTCCTTTAGAAAGAACTGGGGAAACGGGAATCAAATCTTGGGCAAGCATTTTGTGCTTGTCCCTATCTGTTTAGGAAACAGTATTTCACAAAAGAACCACATTCCATGGAAAGTATGTTTATTCTGGCTTAAACATAATCATTTCCTCATTTCCTCAGGAAAGTCTGATTCAGATAAAGGATATTAGGAAATTCAAAATTGCTTAGTTTGTAGGCAACTGAATGTCACATTACTTTCTGGATCCCATGAAAATATTTTCAAAATTAATTCTATCATGTCGGCCCAGGCCTTTAAACTGAAATATATGTTAATATTTCACAATCTTCACTGCTACTGGATACCACATCCAGATATTTCCTACACTTTCATTACTTTTGTGTGTACATATGCACATGCACACATACGCATACACACACACACAAGCATGCTTATTTACAAAAGCTTTGGTCTCTGGACCTATTTTCAGATCCTAGATAAATCAACAGGGAGGAGATAGCATGGATTAAAAATGGAGACCCTGGGGACCAGGTGTGGTGGTGCATGCTAGCAATCCCAGCACTTGGGAGGCTTCAGAGGAGGATGGCCATGAGTTCAAGGCCAGTCTTGACTATATAGTGAGACCCTGTCTCTAACAAACAAATGGATGGAGACCTTGGGCCCAACCACCTAAGTGCCAGCTGCAGCTCAGCCATTCACGCCATTACTTTCCATAGGTCACGTTACTTCTCTGTAGCTGCAAACTGGGAACAACCAAGCCTTTCTCACTGGGCGGTGAAGATAATAGGAGTTAACACAGACATAAAGTGCTTGCACTAGCATCTAGTATGGCACTCAGCAAGGCCTGGCCATTGTTAGCTACCCTGTGGCCAGCATGGTCAGGGTCTGCTTTGCCCAATTTAACAGTCCAGTTGCACCAGGTTGCTGCAGTTCCCCAATCAGAGTGTAATGAGCTGGTCCTAGTCCACACTGTTGGGGCCCACAGGGCCTGGGCAGCACCTCCACGACACCTCGACTTCCCTGGAAGGGCCAAGGCCCGCAGAGAGCAGTGATGCCACAGTCTGGTGCCCATCATGGGCATCGGTAACCAGTGCCAAGCCGGGCTCGGCACCAAGTGTTCCTTGTTATTCAGAAAGACATGAAAATAAAAAGCACTCACATGTTCACACTGTCAGTTACACAAAGTATGCAGAAGAGTGTAAAATGGCTTGCTTTCTAACAGTGTTCTCATTTGCTATGGGTGCTTCTTTTTCCTCAGTCCAATTATCACTTGAAAGATATTCTCCAGTTAAAACCATTATAAAAATCACCCTGAAGTATAAAACATATAAAAACCTGCACCACTGAACAATTTATAGAACAGGAGATGGGCAGACAGGACATGTTGCAGATAATCAAAATTTTATTTAAAATGATAAAACAATCAAAAGTAAACAATATAATATGCTTGCATTGTTATTGTGTAACTTGAAAAACGGCTCTGGTTTAAAATCACCAGGTCCTACCCCGAGTAGCAGTGCAGCCAGCTGCTGTCTGCTGGATAAGCACTGCTCTCAGGGCGGACAGATGTAAGCTGGGTGGGAGGCAGGCTACCCACTCCCACGGACAGGAGGCTGGTCCCTACTCAGAATGATGGTGTCTCTTCTTGTGATGGCTCTCAATCGCTCTCCTCAGGGCTTCATCCTGGATGAGGTCAGACATTCTCATATCTGTGTGGCTACAGCCAATTTTAGGGCAGCTGTGAGGGAGAAAGAGAATCCAACTTTAAGGCCTTAAACATAAACTTCTTTCACATTCAAGTGCTGAAATGAAGATATTCCACAAAAGAATAACTGTGAAAGACTGACACGTGCTCCTTGCCTGCCCAGGGGCCAGGGATGCCACCGTGAGTGAGCAGTGAGACTCTGGCCTTGCTGTCTAGGGGAGATGCAGGCACAGCTGAGCACGTAACCCTGAACAGAGGCTCTCCTGGGCCTGGGTCTGTCACGTGGGTGCTGCCATGTGGGGAAGCGAGCTCAAGGGCTGGGGGAGCTTCGGAGCCAGGGGCCTCCAGGTGGGTAAGGCAGTGGGCTGGGTGTTTGGTGGGAGGGCTAGGCAGTGGTAGGGCTGGCAGGAATGGCAGCAAGCGCTGGAGGGGACGTGAGCGCCGGGGGCTGCAGCCCCCAACAGGGAGGCTTGGAAAAGCTGAGTCTGGCTGTTAACGGGGAACAGGAGTCTGGAGCCCTGCAGGGGCCTAGGAGGACAGAGGGCAGTGGCAGCCCATGAAGAAGAGGCCAGGCAGGCGGGGCAGCAGGAGTCCAGTGGGGCTGAGTGGGTGGGACTCAGCCACTGGCCCAAGTTACCTGACCTCCTAAGAGAGCAGGTCTGGAGAGGGTGAGGAGCCAGTGCTGGGGCCCAGCTGACTCAGGTCTGGACACCCTCCACCCTGGACTCTGCACGGAGATGAGGGCAGCTCACTCTCCCGTTCTGAGTCTTGGTTCCCTGTCTAACAAAGGCACGAGAATCCCTTGTTCACAGAGGCGTTCACCCCCTTCAGCTCCCCCATCAGCTCCCCCACTCCCTTCTATGGAGTGCTTATTTCCAGGACTGGGGACTAAACCCAGAACGCTTACACGGAGCTAATCTTCAGCTCTTTTTATTTTTCATTTTTGAGAAAGGGTCTCGCTAAATCACTGAGTTGCCCGGGCTGGGCTCTGTCTTGCGATCCTCTTGCCTCAGCCTCCCAGGGTGCAGGGATTATGGGTGTGCGCTACCACATTTGGCATCTGTAGTTTTCCACGGCCTGGCCTATCTGTGTATTTTGCATTTATCTGCTGCACACATATATCCACCTGTGTGTCCCTCTGAACCTGCTGTGTGACTGGCCTTGTGCTAGGCTCTAACCACATAGTGGTGAAGCCCATTATCCTGCCCACACAGAGCCACAGCGAGCTCTCCCAAGTGCACGTCAAAGCCCAGAGTGGCCCCAGAGGAGAGATGCAGCCAACATGTGCGCACTCACCCCACCTGTATCCTGGAATGGGGACAGGCGAGGAGGGTCATGAGTTGTAGGACAACCTGGGCTACACAGTGAGCTCCTGTCTGAACACAGCACAGCACAGGACTGAGAAGAGGCAAGTCGGGAGGAAAGATGCTGAGCCGGGCAGTTCTCCTTGTTGAGGGAAGGGCTTCTCTGGGCCTGTGTCTGAGTGGAGCCTTTCCCTGAGAGGGCCTCCATCACTGTGTTGTGACAGCCTGGATAGCAGTGTTCCATTTCACCCAGTACCACACACACAACTCAGTCATCAGTAACCACAGTATATGTTCTATCAAGTGATAAACTCCGGACCTCATTTTACACCAAATTTCATACTGCAATGTGCCCTGAGAGTCAGCAACAGGTGAAAGTCCTAGCTGTAGAGAGTGATGGATGGATGTGGCCCAGGTTCCAATCATCTTTTTTTTTTTTTTTTTTTTTTTTTTGTACCGGGGATTGAATGTGCTTGCAAGGCAGGCCACTGAACTGCTGAGCTAAATCCCCGGCCCTCCAATCATCTTATGAGTTGGCTTTGCATTAAGGTAAGGCAAAAAACTGTGTTTTCCTATCCTGCCCCTCTGAATGCTGAAGTCTCACACCAAATCATTTCTCCATGTATGCAAGCCAGCAGCTGAGATTACGTGAGGGCAAACACTGTGGAGATGTCAGCATCCAGGACGTGAGCATGCCGTTCCAGCAGGCTGTGGGGATGGCCCTCCTCCTCCTGCCCACCGCCGTGCACTCCTGACCGCCAGCCTTGGGCTCTCCCACTCCAGAGAGCAGTCTCACTGCAGCAGCTAGACAGGATAAGCCGCGACAGGGAAGTGGAGAGTGAGGTGGGGAGCACTTCCTGGTGCCATCACGGCTGTAGGAGTAGGGAGGGCATTCTGAGAATGGCTGACAGAATTAACCACACCACGCAGGGCAGAGCTGGCGCCCTCGTTCCTTCAGTGGATGTGTCACAGGAGCTCTGAGCTCCCTCAGGTACAGGGTCTGGGACAGCGGCCTGAAGCATGGCTGGGGTATGGCTCATCCCCCTGACAAGTGAAGGCAGAGTGAGGGTCACTGAGCGTCAGGCTGAAAGCAGTGCCCACCAGTCCCTGCCCTGTCCATGGCCCCTGTTCCCCACCAGTGAGTTGGACGGCCTACCACTATGGGTGCTGAAGGCTCTGGGGAGACTTCCTGGAGGAGAGGTGCACGGAGCCAGGGAAGAGCCCAGTTTCTCTGCCTGCCCCGCAGAAGCAAAGGCAGGCTTCTGAAGTGGGAAGGATAAGAAGACCCAATGCTGTGGGCCTGCTCTGGAGAAAAAGCACTGCAGACAAGCGTTGGCCTTAATCCCCATGACACCCTGGTGAGCAAGATGGGTGTGGTGACACTGGTGCAGCAGGAGACAGACCTGTAGCTCCAGGGGGAGAGGCTGGGTCACTGGGAGGGCAGCACGTCTGAGTCCAAGTGTCCGCTGAGCCCAGCACCATACCTCGGTGTCCCTCCAGGGCCGGGCTCTGACCCCAGGGGTCCCAGATTGGGAGCCCAGCTTCCACGGCTCCGCCCACAGGCGGTCACTCAGAAGCAGGAGTGGGCTGGCTCTGCCGGCCAATGCACAGGCGAACTCAGCCTGCACCTGTGTCTCAAGCACAGCGGCACAAGCAGGGAGGGAAATGGCCACAGCGCCCAGCAGCTGTTCACATTGTGCTCCAAACTCTGCAGGGCTTTCTCCCAAGCGCTGGACTTCCTCACTGCTCAGAGTCCTACGGGTGCAGGCCATGAGGTCATTCCCGACCACTCTCGCCCTGGAATTCACTCAATACACAAAGCAGTGAGGACAGGAGGCTCAGTGACTTGCTGGGAAACGAACTCTGATGTTAAACCACACATCTCTGTTCTGCACATTTCTGTTTTACACGCTTTGAGATATGACTGTTTGTTAAATATAGTTCCTGTTCTACAGAAAAGCAAAATGAATGGCTGTGGTAAAACTGGAAATACCTTATTCATATGAGAGTCAAATGGCAGCTTTATTTGCAAGATAATAAATAGTTTTATGATTGAGATGTATTTTAGGGCCAGCCACAGTGGCACACACCTGTAACCCCAGCATGCTGGGAGGCTGAGGCAGGAGGATCACAAGTTTCAGCCCAGCCAGATAAGTTAACAAGACCGTCTCAAAATAAAAAAATAGGTGGGATGTGGATCAATGTGAAAGTCCTAGGTTAAATGGTTAGCAATGAAAGGGAAAAGAAAAAGTACAAAAAATTGAGAGATATTTCAGGCAATTAAGTTATTCTAATGATTTCAGTTAGGGTGAAACCTAACAGCCATGCGCCTATCTGCCTGCGCCAGTACTGACAGGCCTTTACCACGGGAGCCAGCACAGGAAATTCAGACAGCACCCAGTAACAGGGCGCCTGGGACTCAGAACAGGTAGGAGCGGGAAGGCCACTTCTCCGCCTGGATGCGCTGTCCCACGAGCACCCAGGGGAGTGACCCCCTTCCCCACAGGTCAGAAGCCTCCAGGCTCCCTTCTCTTCTAATTAACTTGTTGCTTCGGGGTGGACCTGCTGGCAGGCGCTGTGCTGAGAGTGCCCACCTGTGGCTGGCTGTCCACGCAGAGCCACTTTGGGGCAGACCATGGTGGGGGGTCGCTTCTCCACCACAACCTCCTCAGTAGCCAGCTCAGGTTCTCCCGAGATCACACAGCTGACTTCAAACTTAGCCTCTCCCAGTCACGCCTCTTGGGCTGGTCCTTGTAGACACAGTATACATGAGCGTCCCGCCCAGGCGCCTTCTCCATGCTCACTCTACGCAGGTGTGCCTGTGCCTTCTCAGTGACTCGGGAAACCTCAGGCTGGCCGGGACAGCAGAGGTGGGAAGAGAGCTCTAACTACTTTACATCCGTGTTACTCACACCCCAAGCTTACGTCAGTGAGGCAACTCCAGCTGCTGACATCGGCTCACAAATGAGGAAATGACTACAACAGCGACACCAGTGCCCTGGACATGGATCTCCACACCGCTTTCCTGTTCTGTTCTCCCCTACTCACCTGCAGCTGGTCCACTGGGTTACCTTGTGGCTGGGAGACCCAGTGAAAGTGCTACCCCCGAAAGCCTCCAGGCCGCCGCTACGAGATTCAGAGTGTCATACATCCACGTTAAGGGAGCATAAGCACGGCAGAAAAAACCTCTTTCTAAATGACCAGTGCTACTCAGTGCTCATAAATCCTGTACAATTCAAAGAGCAGGGCATGGTGGTGCATGCCTGTAATCCCAGCACTCTGGAGCGCAGAGGCCAGGATTGCCTTGAGTTCGAGGCCAGCCTGGGGTACACAATGAGACCCTGAATCAAGTAAAAGGGGGAAAGGGCTGGGGATTTTGTTCAGTGATTCCAGTGCCTGCCTCGAAAGTGTAAGGGTCTGAGTTCGACTTCCAGTACGGGGGAGGGGGGGCAAAGGGACTTATGAAATCAAAGTTCGGTCTCATAAGGATCCATCTGTGACTGGGACTCGGGGTGAGAAGCAGCTCTGTAGGAGTACCCACCCCTTCCAAACCTGACAGGAGAACATCAAAAACTTTAAGAGGAAGGGCTGTCAAAATGAACTAGGAACAGCTATTTTTAACGATTACACTTTTTTGGCTCATCAGAGCAGGAACACAGAAGTTGGTAGAAAGCGAAGGTTAGGAAATCCAGGAACAAAGAAAATTCTATGAGGGGGGAAATATGACGTTTCAACTGTAAGGCAGCACCTCAGAACAGGAACACTGTACTAATAGCCTATATTTTACAGCATTAGGCAGCAAGGCCATTCTTCCTCTAGAACAATATTATGAATAACTTGTGGGGTGATCATCCTGACACCTGCAGTCTGGGACCCCATCTTCAGCCCACACCCCGGCGAGAAGCAAGCCTGCCACCGCCCTGCAGCGAGAGAGCAGCAAGCGCAGCCAGGGGCCTGAAGAGTGAGCTGCGGCCCTCCATTTGTGGGGTCAGAGAAGCAGGGGCTACTCAGTGACCAGGTGCCAGGAAGTTATCTCACAGCTCCATACATGAGAGCTCCCACCTCCTAATTAAATCTTAATCACTACGTCACTGGTTTTGAATTCTTAGAATGTTTACTTCATGATTTAAAAAAACTACCAAGCAAAGTTACCATGCTTTCTGCACCAGGTAAGGGGGAGAATCACTTAGTGTTACAATTCCCCTTTATTTTTCTTCGTTACTTTTTTTTTTGGCAGTGGGGATCGAACTTGGGACTTTGCACTTGTGAGGCAGGCGGTGAAACCACTGAGCTAAATCCTTGGCCCTCTTGGGTAGCACCAGTTCATAAAAATCTTTAAGAACTGAAATCCAATCTAACCCTTTTCCTGGGTTTTGAAGGTGTGGCTAAAGTGCTGTCAGCTTCTTCCTGTACAGACTAGGAATCCAAATTCCTCTGTGGCGTTGAGGAGCCCTTAGAGGCCTGCCCTCCCTGCACAGGAGCCCTTAGAGGCCTGCCCTCCCTGCACAGGAGCCCTCAGAGGCCTGCCCTCCCTGCACAGGAGCCCTCAGCGGCCTGCCCTCCCTGCACAGGAGACCTCAGAGGCCTGCTCTCCTCGCACAGCACCTCCCAACTCACCAGGCCTTCTTCTTTCGCTTGTGCTTGGACTCGATTATGCGGACGATGGCTTCCTCCTCGTAGGTGTGGCCGCACACTTTGTTTTTTACTGGCTTCTTCATTTCCAACTGTCATCAAGGAGAGAGCAGACTTTAAGGGAAGATAGAGATTGACTTCCACAGCTGTACTGCCCTAGTCCAGGCTAGGTTTTTAAATCCCCAGTCTCCTGGCTTTGGATGAAGAAATGCAGAGAGACAGGCACCATCACTGGCCTGGTCCTGGCTCCATTCCAGAGCCAAGTTCGCTCCAGCCCCAGACTCTCACACAGCAACCCCCCCACCCCGCCCATGCAAAATCAACTCAGAAAGCAAACAGGAAACGTTCTGCTTCTTCCAAGTTAGCTGGCCTTTCTTCTGGAAGGAGGAGCAATGCATACCTGTGTGATGGGGCAGATGAAGTTGGTCTGACTCTGAGTCACAATCATGTCTTCATCAACCCCTCCAGGGCCATCAGCTTCTCTCTCTGCCTGAAGAACGTCTAAGGGAGAAAAGGAGTCATGAGGCCCTGGGTCAGGCAGCAAGCCAAGGACAGGCAGGAAGCCCACCGACACTTCTCAGGGTCTGCCTGGGGTCAGCCCCTGCTAGGTGTCCAATGCAGGTTACCGCTTCTGCTTGTAATGGGAATGGCTGTGGGTGGGGAGTAAAAATGATCAAGAGAGGGTATGTGTGTGCATGCATATCCCCAAGATAAGTGTAACGCTTATGTATTGTAAAGATGTACTAATTTAAAAAAATCAGAGAACAGAATTCTTCAGGGTACCTTATTTTGCCCAGTTGTGATAAGGAAACTAAAGCTCAGAGCAAAAAGTAAAAAGGTTTTTCAAAGTTCAGAGGTTAGCCAGGTGTGGTGGCGCACACCTGTAATTCTAGCACTTGGGAGGCTGAGGCAGGAGGATTGTCATGAGTTCACAGCCAGCCTGGACTTCATAGTGAGTTCAAGACCAGGCTGAACTATACAGTAAGAACCTGTCTCGAAAAACCAAAAACAAAGAAAGTTCAGAGAATTGAGTCATAAAGGCATGCTTCCTGGTAACCAAGAGCATGGCTGGGAGTCAGAGGATCTGTTATCTGCCCCTCCAGCTGGGAGACTCTGGGCTGGCACGTCACACTGTTTCTAAGCCTTACTTCATAGTTTTGGTGCAAAATGAAAGGGATGAAGTATGTGGCTCCAGGCTGAAGGAAGCAATAAATGATTTGCGTTCCTGGGCAGTGCAGCCATTCTCAAATTTCTAGGTTGAAGCTTTGACCTTTTTGTACTTTTAGATTTTCATTATGGACCTCCCCACAAAACTTTTTTAGTCATGTGAGTTATACTTATCAGTGTTTACCAATTAGACATTATCACTGAAAAATGAAAGACTGTATTCGTCAATTTCTTACAGGTTTATTTTTTTCTGGTTTGAGCTGCTGAGGTATAAAAATTAGGAGTGGCAAACTTACTTTTTTATTAGTATATATTTGTCATACATATTGATCATATTCATTGCAGGGATTTTGTACCTGTATATATCTTAATTTTTTTTTCCATTCCTCTCCCTTCCTTTCAAACCTTCTTCCCCTCCCATTTACATATGCTTTCTTTTAGGTTTATTTTAATTCACTTAAAAAAAAGCAATACTGCTTCATGTTAACATGAATAATAAAGTACAGAACAACAATAAAAATGAGAAGAGTAGTATTGTTTTCCATTTTTGTAAGTATTGCGCTGGATTTTGTTATGTATGAACACATTCACTCTGTCACAATAGGACATCATGGAGCTACTGAGAAACCCACTTGTGAGAATAGTGAGATGGCACAGGATGCTACGCTGTTAGCCACTCTGAAGCATTCTGACCTGAGAGGTGCCAGAGAGGTCCCTGGCCCCACTTAGCAAGGCGTGGCGGGTGGGCAGGTTCTGAACAGCACTCTCTGCTTCTGACTCCCCGCCCTTTTCCTTTCACTGTATGACACTTGTATGCAAGATTTTTGAATGGTATTATGGGACTGAATATTTCACATGAAGCCCCTCTGTCTGAGGAAGGGATAGAGGTTGCTCAAAATCTGAAATCCAAAATTCACAATTTCTGAAACACCAATGCGACAGCGCAAGTAGGAAGTTCCACTGAAACAACATGCATGCAATTACCCAAAGGACTGCATAAAGTTACCTTCAGGCTATACCTGTAAGGTCTATGTAGAACATGAGTGTTCTTCTGTTGAGATGTGGGTCTCATCCCCAAGATGCCTCACTACGCACACGCAACTACTCCAGTGTAAGTCAGCAAAGAGCCCGAGCCAGAGCACTTGACGCTCAGTGGGGGACACACTCAGCCTGCTCTTGTCATGAGGAGATGCTGCCTTCCTTCCTTCCTCCTCCCTTTCCTCTCCCTTCCGCTCTTCTCTCTTCCCTTCTTTCTGGCAGAAGAGAATAAAACTGCTTTCCCTTCAGTGTGTGGGAGGGAAGCCTTGCCTCTGGCTCAGGGGGTTTTGCAGACCTTTCTGCTCCACACACCTGACAGGGCTCCCAGGTCAGATGAGCGCCTCCAGAGGTGTGACCGGCAGGAAGAGCCTCAGCCTTCCTGCCAAACCGTCCAGGGACTCAGGGCCAGAAGCGGGGCTCTGTCAAATCACTGCTTTGTGCAGGGCTTTCCCCTTCTTTCAGTGGCTGAGTAGTGCTATTCGCGTGCCAGCTTCTGCCCCTCAAACCCGCTCTCACTCCTAGGGATGTTAAGAATGAAGACAGAGGGGCACAGGACTCCATGCGTGGAGGTCTGTGAGACTGTATGAGACCCTGGCAACCATTCACAAGCTGAGCACCTCTAATTCAAACATTCAAAATCTGAAATGTTCTGAATACCAACATGACTACCTGAAAGTTTTAGATTTTGGAGTATTTGGGACCTGGATTTATGGATTAGTGATGTTCAGCTGGTACAGTCTACACAAAAATTCCAAACTCTGAAGTCTAAATCACTTCTAGTTCCAAGCATTTTGGATAAAGGTTACTCAATCTGTCCTGGATTCAAAACAGGATAACTAAAATTAAAATGAGTACGTATTAAAGTTATATAAACTATAAAGTTTGGTTAATTTCATTAATTCTTTTTTTGGCAATCAAAAATATTTTATGGGGAAGCAATATGTGGGCTGGAGTTCTTTTTTAACTTAATAAAAATTTCCAGCTATGCCAAGGTAGTTACTGACAAAATATTAAACAATTAAAAATTAAGTCATTTGCTGGTAGACAATCTATTTCCAAAGTAAGACTAAAAAATATTTTTAAAAAAACTTGCCAGCAGTAAATTTATATTGAACATGGGGGGCACCACTTTCGTTTGCTTGCTATGACATAAGTGTAGAGTCCCTGGAAAGATGACCCACACCTATGAAGGGTTTTCAGGGTTTCCCAGCACTCTCCTCGGTATTCAGAGTGTAAGAGTCAGACTCCTAAAAGAGTCCTTTCATCAAATCAATGGTGTAGGAAGGTTGGACGGGTAAGGCAAAAGGTCAAGGAGCAGGCAGGGAGCCATTCTGTTTCTTGGATTTACTTTTCAAAGCCTCCTTGGACTGCTACTTCCTATTTCTGATTGTGTGTTTGAAAGTGGAAATAAATGTAGCTCTTTGTCAGTTTCTTGCAGGGTTTATTCTGAATGGATGGCAGATTTCTGACTATAAATGTTACACCATGGAATTCACCGGAAAATCTGTTAGATGTATAATAAGAGTTCAGCTGATGTGAAAGGCTGTGGGTTTTTTGGTTTTTTTCTATATTTAAATTTCAAATGGTAGAGGAAGCAAGAAAACACAACTTAGATGCAGTGCCAAGCCCTAGGGAGGGCTGAGTGGGGAGCATGATCATTGAAAGTGACTACCAGCCTGAGAGATCACGAAAAAAGGATGTAACAAAAGTGAGACTCGGGAGGCCAGCATGGAGTAGCGGCCCACAGATGGCAAATCTAAAAGAGAAAGATACTCAACAGCTGCGCTGTTCCAGAGGCAGACCATTTCCTCATCTGCAACCTGTATTTACTGAAAGTGATATAACGCTGGGATTCTACCGTGTGCTAACAAAAGGTTTCACCTGGCAATAAAAAGCACTTCTAGCAATTTAGTGGTCCAAAAGCAAAACTTTGTGATTAGCCTGGTAGAAGGGAGGCTAGAGAGAAAAACACAGATTATCCTCTGCAGTCATGGGAGTTTTAAAACTGAGGTTATCTACCCCAAGTCTCTTGTTTGAGAAAACTGAGATACAAAGGAATTGTAGGTTTTGTCCAAAGTCATGCAAAGCATAATAAATAAAAGTGCTGCTCTGTGTTCTTGGACTAGTCTGCTTAAACACTAAACTTAGTGTACTGGTCTAAATGCTCCCCTCCACCTCAATAACCAATTCATTAATATAAAAAGCACTTCAAATTTACCAAAGGTTATACAACTGCACTGCACATACATTATTTCATTTAATCCCCACAAAATACCCATGGAGAATGACTTTATTGTTATTCCCCTCATAGAGAAAGCAAGCAAGCAAGCAAGATGGGACCTCAAGCCCCACTATATTTTTAAGGCAAATGTAGAAAATAGCCTCATAATAAAGAAACAATTATATTAAATCAGTTAACCTTTAAAAAAGAGAACACATCATTTTCCCGATCATAAGCAAGCAAAGCAGGCACACTATTTTCTATAATCAGCACACCATATCCTTAAGTTCTGCGTCTGTGGATTCAATCAACCAGATTGAAAATATATTTTTAAAAGCCACATCTGTATTAAACGTGTATGACTTTTTTCCTGTCATTATTCCTTAAACAGTACAACTATCTACATAGCCTTTACATTTACAAGCAGTCTTGTGATGACCTACAGTACAGGGAGGATGTGTGTGAGATAGGCACACGTGACACACGTCAGACAGGGAGGGACCTGACACCAGAGCCAGGCATGTGGGCAGGGACTGGGCCCCTGCAGGAACGACTGTGCACACATGCAAAGCACGCTGCTAGAAGAACACGGTGGCTTTCCGCTTCTGACCAGCGGGCAGGCCTCAGACCCACTTCACATTGCTCTGAGGCCACACTGCAGAGGGTAGCCCAGACAGACACTGAAGTTTACAGCACACCACGAGGGGTATAGCAGGTAGGAGCTATGAAACTTCAATGTGATTTTCCTTGATGTAACAAAGTGAACAGCAAAAGGAAGCAAAAACCATGGCAATGTTTGAAGCTGTAGTTCTGTTTTTTTTTTGGTACCGGGAATCGAACTCGGGTCCTTGCGCTTGTGAGGCAGGCAGCGGAACTACTGAGCTAAATCCCCAGCCCTCAAAGATGTAGTTCTAGAAGCCAACAATCTGTCCTTGTGACTGATGCACAGGTGTAGGGTCAGGGCAGGGAGGGCATTTACTGGACTCCAAGGCAGGGGTCTGTGCTACTCAGTTCTGACTGCTAGTGACAAGGCAGAATTCTGCCTGTGGTCTTTCCTACCTCAGGTGTCTCCCAC